GCTTTAGTTAAGTGCCTACAGGTGGAGTCTGCAGGCAGCTGTGGGGAGAGGAGGGGCAGAGAGGGGGCGCTGGACCTGGGGATGTGGTGGGGGGAAGCACAGCCAAGCCCCTGCCTGCAGGGAAAGCCGCACTGCTGGCTGGTGGGGAAGGGGAGTGATGGATGCTGCCCCCTGCCCAGCCTCACATCTCCTGGCTCAGGCCTTAGCCTTGGCAGGGAATGCGACCCTGAGCCAGGGAACTCCGATGGCGACCTGAGGAGGTGGCGGGGACAAAGGTGGGGATAAAGGCAGGGACCTGCCAGCCTCCTGCATCCCCACCCCACCTCGACTTTGTGAGCACTCACACAAAACACACAGCCCTGGGATCACATCCCAGCCTAGGCATTCTTAACCTCTCGGGGTCAGTCTCCTCATCTGTAAGACCAAGCAGGGCAGTTGTGAAGATTAAAAAAGATGTTGGCAAAAGCACATTGCACTGGCTGGTATCTCAAAAGCACTCGTTAAATATCAGCCACTATTTTATCATCATTATTAATGTTGTGATTATGCAGACCCTCCTCATCACTCACTCCAGATGCTCACAGTAGTCTCCTAAGTATGCTCCCTATCTTTCATCTCTCGTCTCCGAGCTGTCCTGCACAGAGCTGCCAGCCCAGCAGTCTACGACGATGATTTGGTCACATTATCCTGCTGCTAATAAACCTCCACCAGTTCCCCACTGCCTACGTGATCAAATCCAGTCACTTGTTCCAACTGGCACACACTATCCTTCCTGCCTCCTCTCTGGTCTCTCCACCCCCATCCCCACCCCCTCGGCTCATCCCAAACCTAGCTCCCTCTCACACACCTGCCCACCTCTGTGCCGCTGCATCTACTAGTCCCTCCATGAGGAATGCCCTCTCCTCCAGTGAAAACCTGCTTATCCTTCAAAGCTCACACACAAATGTCTGCTCTTCTGTGAAGCCTGTTCTGACCCTCTCACAGCTAATGGCTTCCTCTGCTGACGGATGCAGTATGTGGTTTACACTACTCTCAGTACTTAGCCACCCTGTTTGGCTGTGTATGTGAGCACCGTGCTTCTCAAAGTGTGGTCCCTGGACTAGAAGCATCTGCATCCCTTGGAAACGTGTCACAAATGCAAATTCTCAGAGCCTGCCCCACCCCCACCCCTGACCTGCTGGATTAGAAAATCAGGATGAAGCCCAGTTTCAACCAGCCCCCTGGACTCTGGTGCGCTCTTGGCCGGGGAACCACTGACATAGGGTGTCAGTACCCTACAGGTGGTAACTGGTACACTGAGTGAAGTGATGGCTTAGAGTAGATCACCTGGGTAGCCTTGCAATGATACTACTGCCTAGGCCTCACCTGCAGAGATTCTGATTTCATTGGCCTGGGGTGGGACCTATGTATCCACAATGTTTTCCTCCCAACCTCTTATGAATATTTTCAAATATACAAAGCAGCTAAAAGATTGTACAGTGAACACCTATAAATCCACTGCCTAGATTCTATCAACATTTGCTATATTTGCTTTATCACATATCTGCCCATCATCCCCCTATCCATGCATTCATCCATTTTATTTTTGAGTGCATTTCAAAGTAAGTTGCAGACATATACACATCACCCAAACACATGTGAGTAGTTTAAAAACACTCCAGGCAGTTCCACTGTGCAGCCTGTGCTGCTCTGATCTCAGCTGGAAACCTCCGACAGCCTCCTACCCTGAGTTCCCACTATGAAATGGGATGATGATGATGATGCTAATGATGGAGTTGCCTGCTCTGCCTCCCTAGTGTAGCAAGGATCGAATGAAATCACACCTGAGAACACTCATGGTAAAGGGCTTTACGATTAACAGGAAACAATCATTGATTCCAGGCTGGACAGCACAGTGTCCAGAGCTGTCACAGGGTTGCCAGATAAAATACTGGATGTCCAGTGAAATCTGAACTGCAAATAAATGGCAAATAATTTTTTTGGCATACCTGTGTCTCAAATATTGCATGAGATACACTTCTACTAAATTATGTTTCACTGCTTATCTGAAACTCACATTTCACTGGGCATCCTCTATTTTTATTCGCTAAGTCTGACAATAGGAGTCAAGCCCTGTCCTGTGGAGAGTAGCAGAGTCAGAACCCTCCACACAGAGAAGAGGCAGGGCTGGATAACAGCCAGCCCCGCTGGTGCCTTGGGGTTTGTGCCTGCAGAGCCAGGGCAGGGGGGCAGGACCAGACAGAGGTCTGCTCCACACTGAGATCCGCTCAGGTGTGGTGGTGATGGCCAGGGACCTTGTATCCTTGTATTAGGGTTCTCTAGACAAACAGAAGCAGTAGTGTGTGTGTGTGTGTGTGTGTGTGTGTGTGTGTGTGTGTGTGTGTGTGTGTGTGTGTGTGTGTAAAGATTTAAAGAATTTGCTCATGTGCTGAAGAGTCTGGCAAGTGCAGGATGGGCTGACAGGCTAAAGAGGGAAGGCCAACTGCTGGCAGAATTCCCTCTTGCTTGAGGGGAGATCAGTCTTTGTTCTATTCGGGCCTTCAACTGATTGGATAAGGCCCACCCACATAATAAAGGATAATCTGCTTTATTCAAAGTCCACTGATTTAAATGTTAATCTCATCCCCAAACCTCCAGAATAATGCTTGACAAAATATCTGGGCACCGTGATCCAGACAAGTTGACGCAAAATTAACCATCACAGCCAGCAAGTCTCAAACATTAGGGCACAAAGGTATCACTTGGGGGAACTGATTAAAATGCAGGTCCTCAGGCTTCACCCAGAGATTCTGATGCATGAGGTCTGGCATAGTGCCCAGGAGCCAGCATATTAACCAGCATTCCAGATGGTTCCAATCCAAAAGCTCCATGGGCGCACTTTGGGAAGCACTGCAGTTGGAGCTCGATAAATATTTGCCAACTACAGGAATGCTGAAGGCAGTAGTGAGGTAGGAAGGCATCCAAGCCGGAGCCCAGCCACCCCTGCAAGACTGTGTTCCGAGACTTTGCTCTGGGGTTGGGGCAGAGATGGCGGAAGCGGAGCCTCCCAGCTAGTCCTGCCTGTGGCGGGCAGCTGCAGCTGCACTGGCAGAAAGCAGGGGACAGAGGGTAAGACTTGTGCCTACACCAGCCCTGGTGCTAACTCAAAGGGCGAGCCCCTGAACCTGCCCTGACCCCACTCAGACCCTGGAGGGCCCCTTTCTCTCCTGTGTGGGTGATGGACGTGCTTGGCCCCTCATGAGCCGATGAGATCACGGCTCAGGAATCTGTGTGCAGTCTGTTGCCCCTGAAAAGAACTGCTCACTCAGCTGGGGAAGCGAGCAGCTGAACGTTCACAGGCCGATGGGGAGGCAGGGTGTGTGGCTGTGGGGACGCCAGCATCGCCAACACCAGCCAGCCAACATTGTCCCTTTCCTGCAAGGATGGAGGAAAATCAATATAGGACAGTAGAAGCCCATTATGGCACAGCTGGGTTTTTAATGGAATCCCAGAGACCATGGGTCAAAGTTATGTCCCCGAAAACCTAATAGCTAAATAGATAACAGCAGAAAGAGAAACTCGGTGCGTCTCCAAGCACCAGAACCTCAGCATCTCAGAGGGTTGGGGAAGCAGACCTCAGCCAGGCAGCTCAGAGTTAGACCCTGCAGGGGTGGAGAGGAAGGACAGGGCTTCATCCTGGAAGCCTCATTCACCCTCAGCCCTCAGCATGTGCCTGATGAGGAGTATGTGGGTGTTGCATAAATGCACGTTCAGCTTGGCCTGCACTCTGGGCTGCCGTTCCTGCCCCTTTTGTGTTTCATGCTCCTCTTTACCCCATCCACCCACACAGATCACGTTGATCTTCTTCAGCCAGCCCTGCAATTGTGTAGTGACTGGGAAGGGGGTGCAAAGAGAGATATGGGGTGCAAAGGTAACCTTGAAAAGGAAGCCTGAAGACTGGCTTCTTCAGCCCCAGAAAGGAACACGAATATCAGTGGGATGGGAGGTAGTCAGGGAGAATCAAAATCCTCACGTCTCTGAAGGGCGATCCCCTAGTGGGGACGACCAGTGATGCCTGCCACTGGAAGGACAGAGCAAGGCAAAGAGAGCACGAGAAAAACCAGAACGGAAGTCACAGGGCTGACTCAGCCCTCGGTCTCCGAGAGCGCTTGGGGCGTCAAAGCCAGAGGTCAGCCCGCAGCCTGACATCCCCACAACACCCATATGGCTTGTCGTCCACGAACATTTCTACACTCTCCTTGAGTCTATTCCTATATTTAGCTTATGCCACCTCTGGGGGTTGCAGTTCCATGTAAGTTTACTACCTGCTGTGTAAATAGCTCTTACTTTCATTTGTGCTAAAGCTGCCTCTTGCCAGCTTCAAGCACTGCCCTCACCCTCCTCCTGACTTCAGGAGCCTGGAGGTAAGTTCACATGTCACCGCAGCCACAGCCTTAACAGGGAGAGGGGATTCACAGCTGGGATGGCCCCCGTCTCACTTTTTTCTTCCTACACTGGAGACCTGGAGACGTTTGGTCTCACTGCAGAAACACTTCCTTCAAGTAGGAACAGGCCATGCTTTGGTTTTGCCGAGGCCAGAACCAAATGTCATACTGTTTCCAATACTCTCACCATACATACCACGTGGCTGTCTGGCTGGTGTTTTTGTCCAAACCTGCACACCAGGCCAAAGCTCTCAGGGAAACATTTCCAACATCTCCTTATATTTGTTGGGCTGTGTCAGACCATTGGCAACTCCCCATGTGGGGACATGACTTTATTTATTTTCCCTAAATGTGGCCTTACACATCTGGGGTAAAGTAAAGCTGATACTTTCTGGACCAAGTGCATCAGCTGATATGACATGTCATCACTTGGAAACTTTTGATGTCATCCACATTTTCTACTAGACTCTGTTATTGGCTTCCCCATGCAAAAAAAGGTATCATTTCCCCTCTGTTTCATTCTTAAGCCAGTGTCTGAGTCATGACACTAACTCCTCCTGTCCCAGCATGACTTACTGCAGTGTGGATGCGAAGGGCCCAAGGGAGGTCTCTGTCTCCAGGAGTGTCGGGCACTGGGCAGGGCAGTGGTGCATAAAATCCCACCTTCCCCGGACAGCTTCAGGACCAGGGTGAGGCTGATCATTCTGGCTGGCAAGGCTCTTCCTGGAGCAGGACAAGGCTCAGATTATTATAATTTTTTATTGTGGTGAAATACATTCAACATAAATTTACCATTTTAACTATTTTTAAGTATATAGTGTCATTAAATATATTCACAATACTACCATCACCATCATCCATTTCCAGAACTTCAGCTTCTCCAACTGAAACTCTCTAGCCATTAAACACTAACTCCTCATTCCTTCCTCCTTCCAGCCCCTGGTGACCGTCATCCTACTTTCCGTCCCCATGAATTAGACTACTCTAGGGTACATGATGTCAGTGGAATCACACAGTATTTATCCTTTTGTGACCAGCTTATTTCATTCAGCATAATGTCCTCAAGGTTCATCCACACTGTAGTATGTCCTTATTTTTTAAGGCTTGCCACCAGGGGACACTTGAGGGCACGGCAAAGTAGGAATGGACACAGTTACTGGCATGGCCCCCCTTAAATATGGGCTCATGCACACACTTGGCTCTTACAGGTGTCCACATGTGTAAATGCACTCCCTTCCACATGACCTCCACGAATATCAGGGGGTGGCTCCTGCACCCTTTAGTAGCAGTTTTCAGACCTCCTTGTGCCTTACAGACCCCTGAAGAGCTGTCACAGTGCAAGTCCCAAGCCCCATGGAGCTTCCCATTGAGGGATGCAGCAGGGGATGCTGAGGTAGGAACCCGGTGCTGTACTTTCAGAGACATGCAGTCCCGGGGCTGTTCCGTGTGCCACAAGGATTTGACTCCAGCCTTGGCTCATGTGCAGCCAGTCTGCACTGGATGGTAAAAACCAACCGATGAGGGCTCTGTCACAAAATGAGGTCACCACATCCTGGAGAGCACACCTAGCCTCTGAGTGTCAGCTCTAACCTCCTCATCCTTTCTAGGGGAGCTTCCCATTCTTCTCTACTTGGCTAACCCCTAGACAGCACCCACTAGGGCGAGGCAGTGTGCTGGGGCTTCTGTGGGGAATACAGGCAAAGCAAGAGGTTCTGGGGTTCTGTGGTGTCCGGGTGGAATGAAACAAGAGCATCAAGGCTGTCAGCATGCAGGAAGAGCTTGACATGAGCCATGAGAGAGCCCCATCGGCCACTGGTTTTCTGAAAAGAGAGTACTTTTGGAGCAGGGACAGCTCCTTGGAGGAAGTGGCACAGAATCCTGACAGCAGATATAGGAGCAGCAGCAGGAAAGTGCAGCTTTGGGAGTCAACCAGCACGCAGTGTGACATGGATGGAGGGAGACACTCTGAGACAGACTTCTGACTGGGCACAATTACAAGTGTTTTGCATTTAACCATGTGATTGTAGCCAAGTCACCAGGCTCTGCAGGCTTTAGTTCTTAATATCAAGAGCATGGCTGCCACGATGGGAGAGGTTGGGACCATACTATGCAGGGCCTTGAATGAACTTAATGCAGGGAGAAGCTAGGAGCCATTCAAAGTTCTAGAGCAGAGACTCGTACCCTTCTTTTAGCCACAGGCCTGAGGGGGCTCTCTCTTGACCTTTGGCACACCCCGACTCCCGTGTGGTTGGCCTGAGCAGCCTGACACCACCAATCTCTTCTTCATTTCCCACTTTGGGGATTCCCTCCAGTGAGGGCGTAATCCCTGTTAGAGGCTTCCTCTGGCTCCTGGGAGGAATTACAGCCCTCTCCGGCACCAGTTCACAAAATCAGAAAATGTGAACTCTAAATAATTTATAAACATGCTAAATAAGACTAGTTCTAGCCCTGATCCCTGGGGAGCCCACTGTTAATACTTCCCTCATTTAACATCAGCCTGAGCCCCTGAGCCAGACATCATTAGGAAGGGAAATCTCCTTCACTCTTTTAAAAACCATGTAGTTCAAATGGTTTGGGATTATTTGTTGCTTTGAATCATTCCTGCCACTGCTCCTTTCCATTATGGGGATAATTAAGAATTGACTATGGTTAGCAAAAAGCACTCGACAGTCAACTTTTTATTTGGTTTTTCAAGTACCCCAGCCCTCCCTGCCGCTCCCCCCAGTCTTCCCTTTCCTATCACTGCAGCCTTGCAGCTCTAGTCCCCCAGGGATCCCCCCACCCAGGTCTGCTGCCTGTAAAAACACTTGAAGCCCCATGGAAACCACACACTGAATGGAGGGAAAGCAGGGAGACCATTCACTTTCCCCTTATTCCACTGCCCCACTTCCTCCAGGCACCTTGCCTGGTGTCCCCTGGGCCTGCAGCCAGAGTGTATTTGTTTGGCTGCCCTGGTCACCCGGGAATGGGGTGGGCTTGGATCCCAGACCTGTCCCCCAGCTGGTCATTCTTTCTTTCAAGAGTCACTCTCTCTGACCGGCGAAGGCAGGATTAGAGGCTTTGGAGGAAGAGTGGGCCTCTGATCATAGAAGGAGGGGTCACCGATACATGGCTACCCCCAAAGCTGGCTAGTCAGGCAAGATGAGGGTCACCTGTCCCCATTTCCCCAACCACAGAGGTTCCTCAATCTCCTGATGGAAAAGGCAAGGGACATCCAGCAAGCCTGATTCTTTGGGCGCAGCCCCAGGACTGAGGTGATCTCTTTTATTTCCCTGTCCCAACCAGAACCGTATCTAAGTCATTGCAAGGATAATTTTTTCTTTCTGTCTCCATATCACTGATTTCTAGGATTCTAAAATCCTAGGAATTCTATCTGCAATCGAATTTAAATCTTTTCTGCTGCAGATACAATGAATTATGGGTTGTTCTTAGTTCAGGAAGTTGAGGGCCCACCTCCTTTGTATAAGTCATCATAGAGACAAAAACCATAAAGAACAGGAATTGACTTTGATCAAATTCAAGGGATTCAAGCTACCTGTATGGGGAGATTGAGATTAGAACACAGAGAAGCTTCTAGAGAGGCTGCCAAAGTTCTCTTCCTTGACTTGAGAGGTGATGAAGGTGCTAACTTGGATATAAGCTGTTACTAAGCCATCTGTTTTGTGGCTTTCTATATTTGTTTTATCATATCCCAATTAAAGTTAACAGAAAAATAATCAGTCAATTGTGTCATCCCACAGGCCCCCCCTCTCTAGCTCTTCTTTGGGGTAAAAACCTCATTTCTTTAGCATCTCCTCCAAGGTTCAGAACCCCATAATTAAGAATTGACTATGGTTAGCAAAAAGCACTCGACAGTCAACTTTTTATTTGGTTTTTCAAGTACCCCAGCCCTCCCTGCCGCTCCCCCCAGTCTTCCCTTTCCTATCACTGCAGCCTTGCAGCCCTAGTCCCCCAGGGATCCCCCCACCCAGGTCTGCTGCCTGTAAACACACTTGAAGCCCCATGGAAACCACACACTGAATGGAGGGAAAGCAGGGAGACCATTCACTTTCCCCTTATTCCACTGCCCCACTTCCTCCAGGCACCTTGCCTGGTGTCCCCTGGGCCTGCAGCCAGAGTGTATTTGTTTGGCTGCCCTGGTCACCCGGGAATGGGGTGGGCTTGGATCCCAGACCTGTCCCCCAGCTGGTCATTCTTTCTTTCAAGAGTCACTCTCTCTGACCGGCGAAGGCAGGATTAGAGGCTTTGGAGGAAGAGTGGGCCTCTGATCATAGAAGGAGGGGTCACCGATACATGGCTACCCCCAAAGCTGGCTAGTCAGGCAAGATGAGGGTCACCTGTCCCCATTTCCCCAACCACAGAGGTTCCTCAATCTCCTGATGGAAAAGGCAAGGGACATCCAGCAAGCCTGATTCTTTGGGCGCAGCCCCAGGACTGAGGTGATCTCTTTTATTTCCCTGTCCCAACCAGAACCGTATCTAAGTCATTGCAAGGATAATTTTTTCTTTCTGTCTCCATATCACTGATTTCTAGGATTCTAAAATCCTAGGAATTCTATCTGCAATCGAATTTAAATCTTTTCTGCTGCAGATACAATGAATTATGGGTTGTTCTTAGTTCAGGAAGTTGAGGGCCCACCTCCTTTGTATAAGTCATCATAGAGACAAAAACCATAAAGAACAGGAATTGACTTTGATCAAATTCAAGGGATTCAAGCTACCTGTATGGGGAGATTGAGATTAGAACACAGAGAAGCTTCTAGAGAGGCTGCCAAAGTTCTCTTCCTTGACTTGAGAGGTGATGAAGGTGCTAACTTGGATATGAGCTGTTACTAAGCCATCTGTTTTGTGGCTTTCTATATTTGTTTTATCATATCCCAATTAAAGTTAACAGAAAAATAATCAGTCAATTGTGTCATCCCACAGGCCCCCCCTCTCTAGCTCTTCTTTGGGGTAAAAACCTCATTTCTTTAGCATCTCCTCCAAGGTTCAGAACCCCTGTACCAGATGATTAGCCAAATCCTGTGACATGTGTCTCAAGGGAAACTTTCAGGCCAGATGCTGCTGGACCACCTAGAAGAACAGAGTGCAGGGACTTCCTCAAGTTCCAGAACAGGTTGTACTAATAAGTATCTATAGATAGAATTTGGCCTGAGACTGCTTTTCATGGTAACCTGGCTTACCTACTCCTAAAGTTTGGAGGTATTGATGTTTATCAAAGAGAACCTAAGAATGGGGCACGCCCTGGTTGGCCAGGGTCAGTTCATCTCAGCCCAGTACCTACTTACTGGTCGATAAATGTTAACTATTGTGATTCTCCTATTACCACTGCTGTGAAAGTGAGGGAAGATGGGTGGCAGGGAACATGGCATATGAAGGTAAAAGAAGAAGGAGTAGAGGCAAGCAAGGGCAGCTCACCCTCAGAGCTTGGCCTTTGGTAAGACATTAATTCATCAGCCTCCTAACTGGTCCTGCTGTGAAGAGAGGCATATAAATAAATAGCTGGCAAGGCTGATAAAAGCCACTCATACCATTCTACAGAGGGGTTTCAAGGTCCAACTAACCTTCTCTTCTCATTGGCTGCCTCCTCCAACTGGTCCCCATAGGCTCACTCACATAGAGCCATGCCCTGGGTATTAGAGGTTCCAGATGTGGGTATGGAGGCCCGGAGTGGGCTCTCCCCAGGGGGACTGCCTGCTCAGCCTGCCCACACCCACAGCTAAT